AAGCAGTGAAAAAGCTCCGCTATGCCGTGACGACGTACCTTGGTCGTCCCCCATTCGCCCCTTATTCATCCGTAATCGTCCGTAATCGTCCCGCTTCATTAAGTGGGGCAACCTGCGTCGAGTCATGTGTTTGTCTTGGCGACTCAGCCGCCTCTAATCCCAACGCGTAGGACGGCAAGCATTTGTCAACATTCAAACGAGAATGTCGCAAGATGAGTTAAAAAAGTTACACCAGCGCCTCAAAGAGGCAGAACGTCGCCTGGAGGAAGAACAACAACAACGGAAGGAAGAGCAGCGGCGACGAGAGGAAGAACAGCGACGACGAGAGGTAGCGGAACAGCAGATCCAGAACACAACCCTACCCGAATTTCTCAACGCGTGCCACGAACATTTATTTCTCAATCTGATTATCCAGGATAAAGACTCGTCAACAAAGGGTGATCCGGCAAATGCAGACCGCAAATTCCGACCAGATAGAATTGAAGAATGGACGAGCTTCCCACAAGAGCAGATGGCCATATGGGACGACCTGATGGACTCGGATTTTGTGACCGAACGCCACTTTACACCGTTGCTGGCAGTGAGGGAATCTGGGAAGGAAATAAGGAAAAGAATGCACGGTTCTGAACTCGACCTTGGGTACTTTCAGCGCCACACTGTGGAATCGCGTGTAGCGTCTGTCATCGAAGAGCTCTATGCCAGCCCGCAACTACGGCGGAGATTTCGCCTCAATGGAGATGTTACCTTTGAAAATCATTCGAATACGCTGACAGATGAATCCAGAATTGTGACAGATATGAGCTCCTTGAGTTTAGAACAGAGCATGCCCCGTCGCTCTGAGCGCTTGGCTGCAAGGCGGTCTACGGATACTTCAAGATCAACTTCGCGGAACAGCCAACCGACAACGCAGCCACGACCTCCTCGGCCTCGAGCGGACCAGTTCTGCGTATATAATCGCGGACCGGAGGAGAAAGAGCCATCTTATATTCTCGAATACAAGGCCCCACACAAGTTCTCTCTTGCCCACATCAAAGCCGGATTGCAGGACATGGTACTGGAAGACGTCCTACGGTACCAGGAAGACGAATCACCGGAAGACATTTGCCGCCGTGTGGTCGCCGCAGTGATCGCACAAGCCGCACATTATATGTACGAAGGTGGACACGAGTACGGCTGCGTCTGCACTGGTGAAGCTTTCATATTTCTTCGAGTACCTGATAACCCTTCTACTGTCCTATATTATCTATCAGTGCCGAAAGAAGACGTGGGCGACACCACTGGTTGGACTGGAGATGAAAATGGGGATAATCGGTTACATCTGACCGCCGTCGGGCAGCTCTTAGCCTTTACCCTGCGAGCTTTGCGAACTTCTCCACGGGATATAAATTGGAGAAACTGGGCGATGAGTCGACTACAGACGTGGGAAATGGTGTATGATGATGTCCTGGAGGAAATCGAGGAGATGGACATTCCCACTTCTGCCTACAAGCCGCCACCAAGCCGAACTCAATATTGCCGCGTGTCTCCCGTAAAGACCAGAGCCAAATCTGCAATGGCCATGTTTTGTCAGCCGTTGCCAGAATCGTCTTTGCTGCACCGTGACGACGACACTGATGATCACTGGGACCCGCAAACACCCAGTCGAAGACCACGTGACTCTCGAATTTCTCCGCCTCAGGCAGGAACCGCAGCATCTCAGGTTTCTAGAAGAACACAGCATTTGACTTCTAAAGGCAAGTCTCGAAAATACTGTTCTCAGCAGTGCCTTCACGGCTTATGCTGGGGAGAGCCGCTCGATCGAGAATGTCCTAATGCGATCGAGCATGGGGTCAACCGACATCAACTAAACGCTAAGACGCTTATCAAGCTATTGGATCAACAGCTTTCCAATGACCCAGATCCTAACGCGGAGCTTGGATGCGAATCTCTTCATATACATGGCACACGCGGGGCTCTTTTTAAGATCACTCTCTGGTCGCATGGATATACTTTTGTTGGGAAAGGCGTACCAGTTGAATTTGTTGAGTGTGCTAAGCGAGAAGAGATGATGTACTCTCGTCTCACAAGCATTCAGGGAAAATATGTACCGGTAGTACTTGGAGGTCTCCATATTCGGCGGCCATTTTCTTATGATGGGATCGCCACGATGGTTCATTTAACTTTGATGAGCTATGCTGGAAGAACGCTGGCCAGCCAAGGCAATCCCGATCGCATTCAGCTTGTGGAACAAGCCGAGCGAGCACTGTGTGCCATTCACAGCTTGGGCGTCCTGCACAGCGACCCTATCCCGGGGAATATGGTCTTGAATGAAGAGGTCATGTTTATTGATTTTGAGCGAGCCAAGTATCAGAATCCACGGCTGCCGCTGGGCTCTATTTCCCCCAATCACAAACGAAAGCGACAAGCCAGCGTTCGGGATAAAAACCCTAGAAAGCGCCGCAACCCTTACGAGTGTGAAATGTCACGTATGAGATCTGTACTACGATATTAAATGTTAAGGTTTGTCATGATACTATTAAGCTGGCCATCATAATACTAGACAGTCCAAAGGGGCTGGCTCGGCGCGGGGCGTGTGCAGTGTCGTCGGGAAGCAAATGATCTAGGGTGAATATATTTTGTTTGCACATTTTGCATAGCCTTGGCACTCAGATTTCTTTTGTGGCTGCTTGTATTAATGTGACGCACAACGCAACGCGCAGGCCACGGCGCTCCCCCTGCCTAGCGGCCTGTAACTTAGCCAGCTCTAACAGGGTAAAGAGTTCTACTACTATCACGTAGATAATTGTTTTCTGTTTAGAAGAAAGGACTGACATATTTGTTGATGGGTGAAATGTTGATTATGGATGCTGAGTTACTTCGCCCGGAGAACCTGAAAGAAGAGTAGGCCCTCTCAAAATATAGATTCTTTTTAACTGTAAGCTCTCTCACAATGTAGATTTTCCGGAAGATAGGCCCTCACTGAGGACCTACATTTAGAATGAACCTACATTTCGAGAGGGCCGTCATGTGCCTGGTTCAACCCAAACAGATCGACAGGTACTACTTTGCATTAGTCCCAGCCACGGGACCCGCCGTTGGAACAGATTGGCGACGTCATCGTTCAGTCTTTGTAACTAAGAAACGAGCCGATACTGGCTTTATTCGGCCCCGGCTATAGACTGAACGTAGCACCCACTCTACCACAAGATATGATTGGACTAGGACAGATGCGATGGTACCCCGTTTTACTAACCAGCTTCCATTATCCATCCTAACTTTCTTCCCTGTTCCTTGATTGGTTGCTGCGTTCTGTACCACGTTTTGAGACAAAATCACTAGGTGTCTTCCGTTCAGGGATGGGATAGTACGAATCCTACTTCTCGGTTAACTCTGAAACCAGGCTGCAAATGGAGTAGTATTGTACCAGATGCGACATTTTTGACAGCCAAAAGCTCGATTTGTCCGCACAGAAGGTCTTGATTCGACCGTCTTGGAAGCGGATGCCAAGAAAAACGTCAGCATCAGTGAGCATGCTTAGTTCGTATGCTTTTTTGAAAAGAGTATTGCCGCGACAATTTCGTTGCTGTCTTTTCTGTTTCCTTTGCAGTGCGTCTTGAGTGACATGCGATTGATGTGTTTGATGTATTTCATCATGACGAACTTCTCCTTTATTATTACTCCCCATGTTCGAAGATGAGTACGTACTGGGTGAGTATACAGATAGTACAGATACAATTCAGATCCTTTATATGATGATACTGGGTAGAAGTAACGCAATTCTGTGGGCGAAAAGCTCTTTCTGGATGGTCAAACCTTGATGTTGAAAAGGCACTTTCCAGCCTTGACTTCATTTATATTGGGGTTTCATCAATCGACTGATCCTTCATTACGGAAATCCGCTGGAAACCCATAAACGCAGGTTAGGATATTTAAAATTCCCAAGGAGGTGAAATCCAGTAAATAGCAACTCAGACGACGTTCTTTAGAATGGAGACTGCATTCACAGGATAGGGCTGAATATTCTTAAGAACGATATGCCAAGTCCTAGGAATCGCCCAGTGAGAATCAATGTGGAAATGATGGTAATGGCGAATATCTTTTCCCCCAAGGTTTGATATGCAATTTCACCTATAGATAATTTCTACTCATAAATTCATCACACTAGGCAAATAATTCATCAAGATGCCCCACTGCTGCGGTGAAATCCACCACAATGAAAAGTAGCATCGTGCATTTAATCGTTGAAATTTTGGGGGTTTCATAACTATCCATTACGATAAGAACTATTAATATGGCTTCTTGAGGGCCTCAAAGTTAAATGGAGTATCTGAGTATTATCATCACAATAGCGAGGCCCCCAAGAACAGGCTAGATATGCAATTTTACCTGTAGATAATTCTTTCACAAATCAAAGCCGTCAAATTATGCAATGAACTCTCCATAGGATACGAGAATTTATCATACAGGACCTTAATTTCGTCAAGGTAATAAAGATAGCCAATACTATAGTGAAAGTATTATTATGAGTACTGTATTTAACTAATGAAATTCATATTATTCCCATGATAAGGACTATTACCATGCCTTTTTATACTAGAGTATTCTGCTAAAACATTTAATGCTTTAGCACATTCATGAGTCACCCTATTAAAAAGGATTGGTGATAAGTCAGATCCTATTAATCGCCTATCAGCTAGCTCTACAAGTGGTGTAAGCGCATATAACCTATATTAATGCAGGGGTAAGCATAACTTAAGATTTCTCCACAGGTTTATGAAGTTCTAGCATTATTTTCTTTTAGTTTTTAGAGGAATTGTCTATGTCTGTCTGCTGGAAAGCAGAAAGCAAAGATGTAAATATCTAGAATCTTGCATACTGCAATTATTTTAGACTAAGAGAAATAATCTTTGTGCCAATGTTATTACTATATTAGATTCTATTCTACGATTTTATATATAGTATTAATCTTGTTTCTGTTCCTTGTTCTTGTTTTGAGAATGCTTAAAGCTAATTTATTAATCTCCTTTATTCTGTAGCAGCTGCTATCAACTATCCTACTTCCTTAATCAAGTTCTCAGTTTCTCGACATCACCCCTTGATTACGGAAATCCGTGAATCGGGAAACGTGTTCCGTATGGCACACCACCGCCACAGTGGCTTGCCACCTTTCCGCGCCGGGCAGGCCACGGAGCTCCCCTGCATAGGGGCGTTGCGTATTAGAATAATAAGAATTATTTACTGTCCAGCATGAATGTACGTCTTCTATTTATGTCTGTTTTGTTAGCGGGGACCATGCGCATCCCAAGGGAAGGGGGTGATGTTTGGCATCTATGGTTGAATCTGTTATGGGATTGGGCGAGTAGCATGGAGTGCTGAACTATTTTCAATCTTGCAGCTGGTAAGCTACAAGTTCTCGGCTGTTATTTCGAACATCGGCCAATCAATGTTGAAAGACACTACAATAATAATCGCCGTCCTGTACGCCGAATCGAGCCTATAACTACGCCCAATGAGCTGTTGACTCACGCTAATGCATGTCTGCCTAGTAACTATCACTCGCAGCTGACTTTGTTGGGCTATTTTTAAATATAGTCATTCCAAAACTACCTTAAATCGTTGGGCTTGGCTATGGCAAATGCGTGTTAGTGGTTGCAAACAACGAGATCATCATTTGTTCCTCCAGTGGGCTTAGGCACTAAGCGGTATGCAGCGTACATCAGCTGCAGGCGGGGTTTATGAAGAGATAACTATCGGCGCACAGGGCCCATGCTGCATTGCTCTTCATTCTCTCTTTTTGTTTGATATCGTTTCATATTGTTGCATAGTATTGTCCTCTAAGTGGAGTCATGAGTCACATGCATGTGATGATTGACACCTCATAAGTCATTTTATTGGTGGATATTCACGGTTTCAGCAAAATTTTAGCCGCACATGCCACTTCGCAACTATTAATACTGCGTCTTCGGCACTGAAAGTTTTTTTTACTTTCATTTTGTTCCATTTTGTTTCATATAGCTGAATGCACCATGACGGCGGTGGATGAGTTCTTCGAGTCACTTTCCAAAACAACAGCGGCACTTGACCGAGATAAGTCATTCCTCAATGCAAAACAGTACAGCAACCTCCTGTCTGCCTTTATCCTCATTCGGCATGGTCACACGAGTGCAGGTGCCTCACGAGCTACATCAAGCAGATATAATCGTGCTCAGCAACATCTCAGAAATGCATTGTCTCTTGGCAACGGTGAATTCCTATTAGTAGCATCAACGAACACTACCTCACAATTAGGCCATCTAAAGCATGATGATCTATTCCCCCGACTTGAAACCTGGTTCAAGGACCATCCAGTGTCAAAGACGCTAGAGTCATTAGCATTGCGCCAGATTGATCTTGTGCAAAAAGATATTGATGCTGGACATCTAGGTATTGGCATAGTGGTTTAATTCTCCAACCAGAGCCTGATTAACCAAACATGCAGGCCCTAAGCGGAAGCAACGGCGAGCACAGAAACCCGTCCGTCAAGAAAAGTCCCGGACTTCACCACAAGATACTTCGGATCTAAGCGACACCCTACTAGCGCGACAGAATCCAGATCTACGATCACCACACAGAGAGCTAGAAAGTCCTCAAAATCCAGGTTCGAATATCTAGATTCCCTAGTATACAGTGAAGGTACTCACATCAATAAGGTATTGAAGGAAATCACGATTTAGCCGCAGTTGATCGAGAGACAATACCATTCCATACATCCCAGCTACAAGGTTTCCTCTCCAAATACCAAGCCGAATTTCCGCAACTGCAAACTCTTTCTGAGCTGCTTCAGCTCAGCAGTCCGAATCTGCATCTAACATATCCATGGTTGGACCTTGCTCCTCCTTTCATTCATATTAATCTCGAGTTGCCAGTTGGAATGAGTGTCAAGTTCGAGTTGTCAATGGAGCTTAGTTTTTTGTTCATCTGGGAAATCTCGAATTCAAGCACGGCGAACTTGGAAGCATCGAATTGATGGCTGGCCCAAAATCAAGCAGTTCCTGCCCTCATCCAAAAGCAAAATTCTAAACCCTTTGTCTGAATTCGGTCCTGTAGGAAGAATGTCCACCTTGCCAGTACCAACTTGAGTGTGAACTGCCCCTTTCCCACCATTCTCGTCTATAAGGATTGCAAAGGCTGTATCGGCATTCACATATCTCCCTGTAAACTGGTTCTCTTCGAGAATGACATCCACATTCTATAAATTATTATCGGTACCGAATCAAATTGTGTAGTTAAAACATACCGAGAGTTTTTTCACCTCTTCCTCAAGTTCTCGGTCATCCACCGATTTTGTTTTTCGAAAATGTGAACCTTCACTCATATTTGCGTAGTGCTCGTAGGTATCCGGTGGTCAAAAGGGCTTCGATTAAAGCGAACCTCTGCAATGGTTAGCAGTGTCAGGAAAGCCTCATATTAGTTCTTACCTATCTCAACGGTCATATTATGTCAGAAAGCAAGAATAAAATTAGAAGAGCTTCTCTTTGAAAAACCTTTCTTATGGATGTTAGCGGGGAAGCGACCGCAGGTCTCAGTTGGGCACGAAGGGAAGAAGCTACCTATCATGTGATTTTCGTTCAAGTTAAGGATGAATACCCGACTGACATGATCGCGCAAAGGTCCATAATGAAACACAAAATTATAAGCATACTAGATTGAAATATGATCTTGCTGTTTTCTATCCAGAATTTTATTTCTTACACCAATCGGTTCTTCAGGTGCGGCTGTTTATCCATATTTGCTTTTGTTAGGTGCATCTAATGCCGGGACCACTTTTTATCATAATGTTACATATTGTTTCATTACGTTTCGCCTTAACGACTGACGTAAGGCTGCCGCCCAAGTTATTCTGATAATAGAGCAACATCTACTATGAAGATAGGCTATCATCGTGAAATAAAATGTCTAGGTTACACCACATTCTCGTAACTTGTACCCGGTAACTTATGCCAATGTCTGCACGACCATAAAATCGTCACTATTATGCTTGCCTGTGACCGTCAGACTCAGCTCATGTAGAATGGGTAAAGAATATTACCTCCATTAGCCACGGCCATGCCGTTTTGGATATGAAGGAAAAGACCATAGCCACAAACATTAGAGGACACAGTATTGCAAACCCAAAAAGGTGCCATAAAAGTTGTTTCCGGAGCCCGGCTTGTCCAGTAAGCCAAAGCCAGAGGATACCGATAATGGCATAATCGATGAACTGAGACAGTAGGTTCGAACGCACTAAATGAGAGTCGATGAAAGGTCCAGCCAAGGACGAAAAACATTTCCAGGAGAATGACATGATGGGATAGAATATACAAAATTTCTGCATCACACTCGGGAGAACGTCCAACAGGGCAACGACCTGAATGAACTGGACCACCAGAAAAAGCACGGAACGTGTGGTACCGAACGCAGGGATACGGACCTCGAGGCACGCCGGGAATGCTACGCAGAGCCCTAGTGGAAGATAATATGCTTCCATAACTTCGTCTATGTTCATTAGTATTCGTACAACATATGTAAAAGAAGTTAGATTCCGTGCCTTTGAGTTCCCAAGTCCTCGGCATTAAGCTGAGAATGGGTACAAGGAGGACAGGAACAAGAAACAATATCGACAATAACAGGTCCTCCAGCATGTATCTGTGGTTCACTAATCGGCGTCGGTAGGTGCAGGATACCCGAAGTACTGCACCGATAACTCTTATAATGGTAAAGCTTGCAGTGAATATAGAAAAAACCATGACATCTTTGCAGTATATAGAAAGAGACATTGTATCGTAGCCAAACAATCAACTTGCATTTGTCCATGACATGCTTGGAACCCTTTTTGAGTACATATAAATATATTTATACAATACGCTCTTCACATCTTGAGAATGATTATCTGTCATGTAACATCAAAATCTTGGGATGCACAGGACTTCGCGGCGATAGTTCCATCTGGTCAGAATTCAAAGTGTTTCGTAATGTTTCATAATGTTCTTTACCAGTAACGTCGAATACCTCTAGAAAGTTCAGAACGTTCATCATAATGTTTCAATTTGTTTCAACTTCCGTGAGTTATCAGATAACGTGTCATATTGTATCACAATGTTTCATTATGTTCAAGTATACCAGAGCATGCTGCATGAGAGCAGGGATTCACCTTGCGTTAGCTTTCGCCACTACTGCTATTAGCGCTACTTGCATGGGCCGTATAATTCATGGAAGAAACTCGATATCCCTATTACGGCACCCTGACATGCAGATTGGTTGCATTGAATAGTCAACCGAACGATATCTGCATCCGTCTAGACTGTTCGATCAGCGAACTCTGCACCTCGCTGTTGAGGTTGATTTAGTGCGAGCCACGTAGCATCTCGATATTTTGTGAAGCGGCGTATGCGCGTTAAGTCTCCGTCACGGACATAAAAGGACACACATTTCCCACAGTTCCCCCTTCCTCTGTTCATGATCCTCGAGCTGCATCTTGCATAAGATACTCAGTATACCTAGAACTTGTTCTTTCTGATCAACCTTTCAATATGGCTTCCAGCTCTCAGAAACAGAATGCACTATCTTCTCATGCTCAGGTCACCCCCCCTGACAGCCCGAATCATGAATTGCCATTCAAAGACGTGAAAAGGGGCAACTGTCAGCTTCTCCTCAGTGCGATTCACGGAGTTCTGTCTGAGATGAAGGCCGCCGCTTCTCCTGCAGGCTCCCACATACCTCCGAATGGAGACGTATTGGAGCATCTGGAGACCATCATTGAAACGATGGCTACTCCTAGCAATGACGGCTCAGAGCCTGTCACAATCAACCAGCTGATACAAATCCTGGAGGCTGCGATGGAGCAAAGAGAGCAACTACGCTCGGCGGATGGATCAACTGGCGATGGAGACCATCGAGAGGGGACATCAAATGGTAGGAGAATATGTGACATTCCGTGATCTCTATAGTTTCTTAGTTAACCAACAGCAGGAATCCAACCTCTTCCATCATTTACAAGACAAACTCAGCTCCCTGCAAGCCTCGAGCGCCTGTTAGAGCTCTTCTCGCAATTTCTGTCGAGCAAATCCTCTTTGCCCTTCGTTTCGGAGCACCCACGCCCAGCCCTCGCAGTAGATACCTCAGGTGCCTATGTGAACGAAAAGTTTCCAGCTTGGGATGACAGGACAGAAATCGACAACAGTTCAAAAGTACTATATCGGGTCTCAAAGGCAGGATTTGAGTCTGTGCCTATGGAGGCTGTGACGCCGCCAAACAGTCCGCAGATGGTTCCTTCGGGTTACATCACGAAAGAAGAACTGAAGTGGTTATTTACCGAAGCGTTGGGAATCAAAAACGCGCAACCGACCTCAGACGGCAAAGATTCTACTAGTAACAAGGCGGCCGAGGATCAAGACAATATCAAAGTGAGAGTTCGCGCCTCAAAGGTGGAGTACAAGACGGTCAACGAAGTGTATGTCGGAGAAAAGTATATGTTGAACGTTACTAACCGCATATAGGTGGGACTCCGCGAAATATGAATACAAGACCGTTGACTCCACCCCAGTTCCGGACATCGATGAATTAGACGAATACATATTTGTGATTCGTAAACGCAGTCGTGAGTGGTACCCGACTATACGTTGGGTTATGCTGACACCTTGTAGACAAGCAGACCAAAGAGCTCATTGTCTATGTTGATATCAAATCACCGGGATTAAGGGAGATCTTGAAAGAGGTCCTGAAGGACATCAAAACGGCAAACCTCGACGCTGATCGGCCTGCGGTAAGTCACCAAGATTCCAAGCTGGGACCAAGCGCTAATTGAGCCGATAGATCGAACGTGATCTTTTATATCACTTCATGGACGGCTTAAGAGAGTATCAAAAGAAGTCTCACGCCCAAGAAACGATCTCTGATGACGCTATGCTTCACCTAAGCAAGCTCGTGCAGTACCTAGAAGAAACGTACGCATCGGTGATAGAACAGTTGAAGTTGCTCCTAGAGTCTCGAAAAATCACATGGGATGTTTTGTGGGCTTTGCTTAAACCAGGCTCACTAGTCTTTGCGACTTGTCCCTCCACCGGTCTGCCCCGATGCATTCGGTACGATTATAGCGAGAAAAAAACAATCAGAGGCCGTGAGATTTTGGAGATCAACGGACGCTATCTCGATTATGACGGAGAGATTTTTGGTGAATCCACCGAGACTCTGCAGATAGAGTCCTTTCGAGGAATCAAGCGGATTGAGACGTTGCCTGTTTTCCCACTGAAATACCACTCAGACCCAAAGATCTGGTCGCGGCTGGTTCGCAATGGCCGCCGCTTTGTTTCTCTTATCGGGTCCCATCATCGCCAGTACAGTGGAAACATGTTCGTCCCAAACAAAACCAAACTGTTGAAACTTCACGTGAACGGAAGAATTATGGTTGACGCCGCCATTTTCCGCAAGTCGAACCCGAATTATCCGAGGTTAGAGATCAAAAAACCTGACATGGTCGATTTTTTCTTCGAACAGGTGAAACGGGGTGAACCAGAAGGGCGTGTTCGAAGCAAGGACGTCGATTTTCGTGCGATGAAAGAAGAGGATCTCGCGATGTGTAGTCCGACAGTGCTCGGATTTTCCTTGAACGAAAAAATCTGGGGTGAGTACAACTGCGCAAGAAATGATTATCACCACTGACATGTTGTAGGAGAATTCGACGTGGATAGTATCACGGAGATTAGTTTCTCGAATGCCCCTTTTGACATGTTGACGGTTCCTGAAGAGAAGAAAAAAGTCATCAAATCTCTCGCAGAGAGCCGTGTCTGCACCAAGCATGAAGGTGCCACAGTTGATGACGTTATTGTTGGAAAAGGACAAGGGGTCATCATTCTTTTACAGTACGTTCCATGTGTGTGTTTGCCACAGTTTGACTCTAATAAGCACGTGACAGCGGCCCACCGGGTGTTGGCAAGACGCTCACCGCCGAGGCCATCTCTGAACGGCTCCAAAGGCCTCTGTATTCGATCTCGTCCGGAGACTTGAGTATAAGGGCGGAGGAGCTTGAAGCGCAGCTCACCCGTACTTTCCAGGTAGCCAGTGACTGGAAAGCGGTCCTACTCCTCGATGAGGCGGATGTATATCTGCAGAAACGAGATGGTTTCCAGTTAGAACGAAATCGTCTGGTTGCGACCTTTCTCCGTACGCTTGAATACTACGACGGAATCTTTTTCCTCACAACCAATATGCTCGGGGATTTCGATTCGGCCATTCTCGATCGAATTCAACTCAAACTACGGTACGACGATCTGGATCCATCGGCTAGAAAATCAGTTTTCCAGCATTTTCTCGGGAATCTTCAGACAGACATCGAAGAAAAATCCTTGTTACAGTTCTCCGAGGTTCAGCTAAATGGTCGCCAGGTAGGGATGTCATTCGAACTTGGAAAACTCAGTTCTAACATCGTCATAAAACAGATCAAAAATATTGTAAAGATAGCCCATAATGTTGCGTTGAGCGAAAACAAGGAAGTGAGCACAAGTCATCTGCGGCTGGCTCTCACGCAAAGTGGATATAGCATTCCCACTCAAGGTGCCTTGACAACTGATGACAGCTTGTATCAGTGCTGAACATGGAATAAGGCGGGCTCGCTCCCTATCGTGGTATGAAGGAGTATGATGCCATAACCCTGTTCTCAAAGTATAGCAGTGACCGGGTAGATATACAATCAAGCAGGCATATGTTCTTTGATTTAGGCGCTGATATTAAGATGCTGGCTCCTTATTCTGTTCTAGAAGTCTAAGAAACCTTTCTAGTTGCAATCCCTGCTGTTCTATTTGGGCAAGAAGCTTCTCTTCCCGCGCCTTCTGCTCAGCTTTCTGCTGTTCCATTTGAATCCTCTGCTGTTCCAACTGAGCGAGAAGCTTCTCTTCCCGCGCATTCTGCTCAGCTGCTTGCTTCTCTTCCCGAGCCTTCTGTTCTTCTAATTGTTGCTGCAAGGTCTGAATCATGCTGCGTAGCTCTGGCTGTAGCCCCCGATTCTGCGAGGAGGGAGCCCGGGTATATGAAGACCGTTCCTGAGACGTAATTTGTGATTGGGCACTAATGTCAACATCGGCATCGAGCTCGAAAGGGACATCTTGCGGGTCGAGAATGTCTTCGAGGAAGTGCATTAATCGGTCGATATGGATGGGAAGGAAGACACGATCGACTTTCTCCACGAAACGATAACATGTCCATTTGTCCGCCTCTGTCCATAGATTGAATTGCTTCACAGGCCAGCGAAAGTACTTGATTCCATCGTCACCAATCTCAGGATAGTATCCGTAGATCCGAACGACCTCTAATTCGTGTGAAATCGAAAATCCAAGGAGCCGCTGATGCACCTCTTCCAAACGACCGGCCGCTTGCGCGAGACTGACCACGGCCCGAAGAGCAACGCACATACTGTGCATATTCTGCCGATCGGCAAATTCCAAGGCCTGGTTCCCGCATTTGATTTCGGCCGTGAGATATGGGAAGTACATGTCTTCTCGGACGGCATAGAGAGATTTCTCGTCCGGTTTGATCCCAAGCTTTCGTCGCTGGCTCTCCGAAAACGTCGACCACTTCAAGCCTCGCGCATGATCGGGTTGCGGTTTGGGACCGTAGATCGGCTCCGTCTTGAGCCATGGATCATTATAGCCATCGATCACATCTTTTAGGTCCTCTCTTCCTTGAATGCGAAGGTTCTCGGCAGATGGCATGAGAAGTGGATGTAAATCTACCAACAGCCGCGCTTCTGATCGATTCCGTAATGTGTCGTGAAAGCCCTTGATGAACTCGAATAAAGTTTCCCGTGGAGTATCAACTGAGGGATCAAGCAGCCGCTCGCAAAGATCAACGTCGCCAGAGGTCGGACCATTATCCGATGACCGCATGAAGCAGCCCTTGGTTTCGAGGATCGTCACATAATTCGCGGCCTTGTATGCGTATGATTTGGCATCCCGAGACGAGGCACTGGTGCTCGGTGAAACAGACCGGGGCCTTCCGCGATCCGTCGAGATCGATCGTGATCGCGATCTTTTGGAGGCTGGCTGACTCATGACTTCAAAGCCGTCTGATGGAGGAGGGATCCACTGAAAGATTTCGTCTTTGCGATCTCTCGATGGAGGCGTAACGGTAGGGTGTCCACGTTCCGGCGAGTCGACCTAACATTCCGTGAGTCATCGTCATTGGCAAGATATAGCAACTAACCCTGATGCTATTATTGTTCGATAACGGTGAAAGCGGTTGCCGTGTCGTGTGCGTCTGCTGCTGTCTCTTTGACGGGAATAGAAGCGTACTCGAACTGTCTCGGCGTCGCAGCTTCGCTGGCTGCTCCTCCCCGTCGCTGTGAGAATGGTATAGACTAGCAGCTGCGCGTTTCATGGTCAATAGTTTCTCAAGTGAAATGAATCACATGGATTCATTGAAGATGACCCTAAGCGTCACGGACGTCACTAATGTTTCGGGAAGGAAAGAGAGACGGACTTGGGTGGACAGGAGGTTAGGTAGTTAGCGCCCAGGAACATCCAATCATGGCAGCGTACCACGTGACTTGTAACTGGGTTCACAGGCTGCGACTATTTCTGTTAGGGATGTGGGTCCGTGCACACATATGTATGTATATAACAAATGATTATAATAATAATGAAACATTGAAGTGAGTTCCAAGGTATATGTTTAAAATTGTTGTTAATCACTGAGTAACAGTGAGGGCTGCGATAATGTACGGGTTACGATGGTAACCGGGGGCCGACATGGGTCAGGCAACGATAGAGGCTAGGGGACGACATGGGAGAGGTGCGACATGGGAGAGGTACGACATGGGAGAGGTACGACATGGGAATCTTCCCTCAGAGGAACTCCTCCCACAGGGAACTCCTCCCACAGGGGAATTTTACCTCATGGGAGAGGGAAAGGCGCTTTTGCGAAAAGTAGCTTTGTGATTAACCATTTATAATTGGATGCCGCTGAGGCGCTTAACTCTCCTAGCATTTTATTAGGCTAGTGTGGCTTTGCGGGAACCTTAATAGCCATTAGACTAGATAGAAGCACAAGCTAGACCTATATATAACATCTTTCATCACTGCTCTATTTTACTCTTCCCGTTTTGCTGTATTTCCCAAGCCATTTCATTGACTTTGACCAGCCGTACTTTTGGACCACCTCTCTTATTGATAATATAACGCTACAAGCTACCCATGGTATCTGTGGTCATGGCTTCTAGCCCTTTGACACCCCACCGAGCATTGATGTATTACTGACGGCGATCCATGGTTTTACAGGTAAAATTCATGGTTTCTCAATGAGTTGAAAGCCCCTATGCTCTAGTATCCCTCACGGGCGCCAGACCTTTCATTCGTACGGTGGCGACTATCATTCCCCTGCGAAATACTAATCCGCGTGGAACACCATGAGTTTACTATCGCTATTGTCCCCCGCGGGCTTCAAGCCCCTATGAGGTGGTCAAACCATGGCAGCCCCCGCGGGCTTCGCTTGCACAGGGGATGGTAAAACCTATGGGTTGACACGGCTGCTTTATCGCTCGCGGGTTGCTCCCCCCCGCGGGCTTCAATCCCCTGTACACTCTCGTTTCATGAGGGACAGTGCAGCTACAACGGTTTGTCCATTGCATGCGGGCTGACATCTCCTATGGGCTCCGGTGTGCAGTAACATGCCGATTCAGCCAATTGTCATCTATTGGTAACGTCAATCCAGCCTCAAATACCTCTAGCCAGATTCTTATTGCTATTCCAGCAAATTGTAAAACTGGTGCGCGCTTTTGTTCATTGCCATCTCCACTACATACATGTTAAAAGATAGTCAAACCTCAAGTGTCATGTCCGGGTGGGCATAACTCTGCTCTCCCGTCAATATTCAAGTGTCATCTCCTGGGTTCCGGCATAGACTCTGCTCTCCCACATCATATCTGCCCACACTTTCACTGCCTCTGGACTCATGGCGTCCTTATCTTCGGCATCTTCATCCAGCCAGTCACCGAGATCATCCAGGAGATCAAAATCGTCGTCCGTCGTGAGAATGAAAGAGTCTCCTTTCCGGTATGCGAATTGGAAATCTTCTTTAATGAAGCAATACACCGGTCGTTTCCCATTTCCGCCTCGATCTGTGTACCAGAAGCCAACGATCACGCCATCATCGATGAATATAGGAGCCGAACGCAGCTTAATATCCGGATGATCTTCGTCAAAAATAAGATCTGGCTCCAGATAACTCTCTGGCTCTATTGAGGGGAGTGGTGTGTCAGGATTGATGTATCGCATCTCTTTTGCGGCTTGCTGATCTGAACAACTTGGATTCAGCTCGAGTTTGCGTTTCAAGGATGAGAGTCGACAAGACTCGGAACTCAGTTGTTGAGTTGACAATTGATGGGCTTCCATGTTTTTTGAAATACCACAGCACTTGCAGCACTTCTTGATGGATTTGATGGATAGTTCACGAACTTCTCGTGGTGAGTCTCGGTATGATACCTCTGATGTTACTGGGTTTTGATGTTGGGAGATGGGAAAGAAAGCAGACCAAGAGTGCGGATGGAGGCCTTTATAAGTCAGACCACCAACTAGTCTGGCATCCTGGGAGGTTGAAAACCAAACCGTGTCTGCGATACTACCACCAATCATGACTAGACGGAAGCACACGACGAGGCAGACCGGATAGAAGTGGCTTGCTAGCAAGCTCTCAGAGTACACTTGAGCATGGGGGCTGCTCGTTCAAGAATTCGAGGACCACTTGGAAGCAAATTCTGCCTATCCAAGGCACATGCAGGACTGTACATGCCCAATCATTGATGCCGGAATCAGCCACAATGGTATCCAGAACGGTGTCGGGTTGCTCCTGGACTACGAATCCTACATGAAGTGAGCTTTCCAGCAGTGTCTTCCCGAAGAAATCCATCTTAAGAGTCTTCCTCTCGTCCGATGAAACTCCATCATTAGATATACACCATGTGTGTGAGGCATCAACTCTAGCGCCTGAGATGATAGTGATTCAGCTATCCTTCACTCACTGTGAGTATTTTCCGCTTCGAGATAGCTGGCGCCGACTGCGCAACAGAAAGTCACGGTGCTGTTGGCACCGCCATGCATGATACACCCCCATGCTCGATTGGGACAAACCGAAGCTCGACTGGTCAATGGCAAATGCTCTATTTTAGGGTCATACTACGCTGTTATTTAGCATGGCTGGTGGCCTTTCACACCTGATTGGACTCACGAGGCTAGGTTTTGCATGATGGGCTCACTCATCTCCACTCCACTCCTCTTTCATGCACTAGATTGCCATGAAATTACGAGAGTTGGACCGCTCAGCCCCCCTAAAAATGGATCAGACAGGTATAAATAGTGCTGACTTCCCACCACCACTCTGTCCTCTTGAAATTCTTTCTCCAACACCTAACACGTCTATCGAAATGGAGACACAGCAACCACCTACACCAGCCCAGATTGATAACTGGCATACCCTCGGTTTCATATATGCAGTTGAAGAAGGGATTAGGACAGACACTCCCGCAGATATATCACTCGAATCTCCCACCATTCCCTTCGATGAGGACTCACCTCCGGATCAACCACCTAGTGAATTGTTGCCATCCAGTCAAGAGGCTGGACACGCGGCGAGTTCTCCGGCACCAGTCGTTGAAATCAATGCCGATGAGGAGGATGATCCTACACGTTGTCCCAATCACGCGATTTCGGAACCTCTTTTGCGTAAACGGAAAAGAGAAGATGTCGATGGGGTAGACTTTCGGTCTAAACTGGTGAGAAGGTAGTCTTTCCCTGAGTCTCAATCCCGGCTAACAACGATTAACAGAAAAATTTGGTGAAGGAAGTCCTGGAACCATATGAGGCCTTGGAAAAGGAGAAACGTCAATGGGAGAAGGACAAGGAAATGTTACAGGCTCAGATTCAATTTTTACAGCGAAAACTCGACGAGCGCAAGCCGCGCAATATTTTGAAGTGTGCTCTATGCCATCGCACCTTCAACGAGGAGTGGAAGTTCCTGGGATGTGGCCATACTCTGTGTCAGAATTGTGTAGATGACATCAAGTCCAAGCATTCCTTATTCGAGTATCCCTGCCCTTATGCTACGTGTCAGAAGCCGATTTTATCTTGTTTAGACTTCTATCCAAACGTGGTGGATGCATAGTTCTGGCTTAGAACTGTTGAGATGATAACGTTGCTTATTTTTGCCATACATGTATACGAGCCAATCTGTGAAGTTTCTCTGCCCGTTTCCTCCAGCGCCACGATTTATCAATATATGGTTATCTGATCACCGACACCAGCAAATGACTCAATGAAATCGCAGAAGGCTCTTCTGGAAAGTAATCCGATTTTTTCGGTTCTTCTGGGATTGGTAGGGACTGACAGAAGTTGCATGCATTGTCTGGCTGTTCTCCATGGCCCAGCTGATGCTCGATCCACCGTACACTCCTATCTCCCTGCCATTCACGATGGTCCTTATCGTAACTTTCATAGCATCCAAGGTTAAATGTACGGCCGCCATACTTGAACCAATCTGCGATCATTTCCGCGGATGATTTGATGCTTACTTTGCTGTCAAGCGGTGCGGAAATATGGCCATCCATCTGTAAGTGTTCTACCAATACATTTTGATAGAACGTAATCATAAACACGTCACATTCTCGACATTCTTGCAGTACGGACAGAATGGTCATTTGGTCATGGTCATCGGCCTGATGCATGAGTGGCGTAAAACACACCAGTGAGTGGCCTGAGGTCGGTTTGCCAACTCATTCATGCAGCTTACCCCTCATGAAGTTATTTGAAAAACAGCCCGGAGATTTTCGCCCTTGAACTCTTTATCTGCTATTTATCAAGTGCCAGCCGCTCGTCCTCAACTCCGTATCGTTGAGAGAGCTTAAACCCCTCGCGACTTGTAAAACGAAGACAGAAAGTGGAGGTCTGAATATGGCTGACTACAAAAAGTACCTTACTCCGAAAACATTGTATTGAGCTGGTCACTGACTATACAAACTTAGAATTATTCGATCATCACAGTTTATTTTTCTCGTTGGCAACGAGAGAACTCGTTTGTCAATTCATGCCGGTATTGTGCAGGCTATCTCGGATCCTCTCCGTGCCCTCATCGATAATGGTCATATGACGGAGTCCATTACTGGATTTGCGACTCTGGACGACGTTGAAGAGGAAACATTTATAGGATTCTGTGAATACGCGTATACCGGTAAATATGTTACTCCAGAGCTTAGATTAGGCCAAGACCCCGAAATCACGTCAGATTCTGGCTTAGCCAAGAACGATACAAATGGCGTATCAGTGGAAAAAAGTGAAGAACCGGTTATTGAAGATGCAGAGCTAGATCGCACCCATGACCTGGACTGGGGCTTGAGCAGCGCGAGAAAGTCAAAGAAAAAGAAGAAATCAGCTTTTTATTATGAGATCGAGGAAAACCAGCTTGAAGAATCTCCTGGCCAGATTACAATCATTTATCCATATGAACAACTCTGGGAAAGGTTTCGACTCCTTAAATTTGACAGCGGACCAGCATCGTTCTCACCAAATCCCGATATCCTCTTCCACGCTAAGCTATACGTTTTTGCTACTAAGTACCTCATTGAGCCGTTACGTCAGCAGTGCTTAAGATCTATTCACAGAGATCTTAGTAGTTTCTCCCTGAATCGGAACAATCGATCGTTAATTCTTGACCTTCTCGACTTCACATACGCGCACACGGGGCGATTTGAAGTTGGTGGAAGATCCACACTTCGCGATATAGTCATACATTATGTCGCATGCGAAATACGAACGCTAGCTGACGATGAAAAGCTCATAGAGCTTCTTGACTCCAATGCGGAGATTGGTTCAGACCTTGTCATGAAATTAGTCACTTAAACCGATCGAAATAATTGCTACTCAGGCTAGTAGTGATCCACAATCAATGCTTTTATCAGTCACATTGACCGTATAATACGACTAGAATTAAGGTGCGGGAGTATAGCATGAAATTCAAAGGGTGAAACATATCTGTTATTCTGTGAATTGCTACTCTACGCATCCTGCCTTGGGGTGAACTCTGAGCCTTATAACAGAGTCACGAGTGGCAATGTATAGAGTATTCTCGTTGCACATAAGATGCGAAGCTTCACCATTAAGAGATTCCACGTCTATAACACATTCTGAATGGCACTTTCCTTCAAAGCTTTTGACCTCCTCGACTGTCAGCCACTTGATAGTGTAAACTAGGCCATTTGCGGAAGGGTCTACTGATCGCGATGGCCCGTCACATTCGATTTGTACTTCCAGTGACCCTGCAGCATATAGTGGTAAAATGCTCTTCATCCGCTTCGTTAACGAGGTTCCTGGACAGAGGAGGTCAACAGGTAAGACATTTAAATCGGATGAGCCCTTCAAGCTCAAATCATCTGACACCATGATCTCGCAGAACATTCTTTTTCGAATCAGTCTCAAAGATTTGTTAGCAGAACTCTAGACACACCAAAAATATTCCTACCAGATCTGCATCGTCAGAAGAATTTTTCGTTAAAGTATGAGGCAGGATATGGGTGATTTCTAGGTTATCCTGGCTGAGATCATCTGTGAAAGGCCTCTGTCACACTGTGAAGTAGCAAGTATCTGAATAACATAGCCTTAAGGAATCATGACTACATCTTCTAATAGTATCCCTTCGGTCGTTTCAGAGTATGACTCATATGTAGGCAACAGCTAGAAGTATAAAAGTGGCGAATCGCAATGCCATGTCACGTAAGCCCCACTTTTATAATGCACCAGGTTGGAAGAGTCAGAATATCCCACCCATGGGTGTGTGTTATCCTGTAACACCCGGCTGCTATAGCAAATCTAGCTATACCCACTGATTGGCTAGGTAGACCACCATCCCTGCATATCTCAATATCAAACAGCGGTGGCGCAATCTAGACCGAGCTGGTGTTTCGAATTCAGATTGTCTCTCGGAGTCGGTGTTCTGATAGAGAGGTGGGTCTCCGTACAAAGTATAAAGTCAGGCTATCAGCCCCTCCAAAAAGTTCCCTTTTCCTTCAAAAAAACTTCTCAACGATGAAGCTATCTCATTAAGCACTGCGTGACTGGTACATGAATTATTAGGTTGAGATTAGAGGATTTTCTGCGATCTGCGCAGAAGCTTCTCAATCCTCCCTGTGTCACTCAATAAGATGGCTAACATTCCTTTTCTTACCAAAGCTGGGTTATCCTTAAATAAATCGTAAAAAGCCGAGGCGGTTGGAGTATAGAAATTCTTAAACTGGGTAAGCTGCCGGATACACAGGCGCTTGATACACTGACACAAGTCTAGGATTGAAAAACCAATCGGCGACGTCCCTTGTCGAGATTCACGCCGCTACATACTGTTCTCCTCCCTTCAGGCGGCCCTCTACCGACGACGGAGATGACAATGGCGACCCAAGACATTCGAAAAGCCCCATTGATGGCGACGGCGACCTTAGAAAAAGAGAGGCCAATGCCGTGTTGGGGAAAGAGTTCTGCTAAGTTCAATAGTCTTCTCAAATAACCACAGAATCAGCGTTGATGGTCGGATTACAAATGTACCACGTTTACATTTGTATAATGTTTACAAATGTGTGGCCCTCACAAATGTACTACATTTACATTTGTATAGCGTTTACATTTGTGTAGCGTTTACATTTGTATAGCGTTTACATTTGTATAGCGTTTACATTTGTATAATGTTTACAAATGTGTGGCCCTCACAATCGTACCGCGTTTACATTTGTATAGTATTTACAAATGTACAGTCCTCACAAATGTGCAGGTCAATGATCTCCCAAGCTATTCATACTCTATTATGATTGGCCGAGGAGTAGGAGTAGTAGAAAGTCAGCCAATTGGGTAGCTTGATGGCCCGAGTGTGCAGGCATGGCGTAGGCACTAGTTGGATGCGCTCCAGTGCGTAGACACTGATTCAGCGTTACAAATGTACAGCATGGGTGATGAAACTCAGCTTCAATGGCCAGGACAGAAGGCATGGTAGCTGTGGGGAAGTCGGCCTTTTAGGCTCTCGAATGCATGTCTCCGTAATGCTACGGAGACAGCGGCATGTGGGGCTATCCGAGACCTACCCTAAGTTTTCACTCGTGCCAGACCAGGTAGAAATCGAAAATTTTCTTTATAAATTACTGAAATTCTCGGGGGATGCGGTAGACCTGGTCATGCACGTGATCTATGACTCATATCTAGGCAACAGCCATCAAGTGGTCCCACCATTTTCATAGGCCTCGTTTCATAAACAATACCAAACAAATCCCGTTGCCGCCTTTCTATGGAGATGAAAGTGGAGAATCACGGGTCGTCACATATGAGACCCGCTTTTGCAATGCACGGGATTGGGAGAATAACGGTCGACATGCAGGTTGTACTCACAGGATCGGCATCTAGACGCACGTACCTGTAACGACCCTGTTGCCCCACCGTGACGTTAGGTCTACGGATTTAGGGCTGCTCGTGGCAAAAAGCCAGGGATTGATGCTCGCCCTCGCAAGTGGATGCTGATTTCTCCACCAAGGGCGAAGGTTGGTGCGGGGCACCTTGGAGATCTCCAAGGATGCCTCTTCCCCCCCCTCCCCCCCCCCACCA